GCTAATGACACAATTTAGCTCTTTATTTTCCCCTCCTCACTTTCGCAGAGAGACGTTTTTAATTTAGCTGAAGAATTACACAAATGTATTTTAAAGACATAAATCCATATAAAAAATATGAGCTAATTAAAACATTGCACTCCCTGTCGCTCATGGATTTTCAATTTAGCGAAAGAAAAAAGAATTGCATCTGGTTAAATGAAAAGATGATACCGGTGGCAGATTGGAGTAAATGAAAAATAATGTTACTCTATATTAAAGCGCCAAATTATACACGTCAGGATTGAGCATTCAAAAGTCCAAATGAGGAGGAAAGTGCAGTGGAGGGCCGTGCCCCGGGAAGGAAGGAAGCCAGATCGCTGGATAACATGCCAGCCTTAGGAAAGGCAAGCCTGGGTTTCTTTCTGCTTGAGAAATGCTACAGTCTGTACTTGACCCTGTTCTCTTGATTCTCGTTTTACTTTATCCAAAATGAATTCCTGAGAGTCAGGATGAAGGTTAAAAAAAAAGAAATCTTACAGAGACACAAATGTTTTCATTGGAATTTGGGTGATGTCTTGGTTAGAGACCATACGAGAAATGTACACAGGGGCATTAAAAACAAGAGAGAGCGAGTGAACAAGATGTTTGGCTTCACCTTGCAGGTCAGTCCTGGGCCCCTGAGTTGCAATAATTAATTTATAGCCAGAGCCTCCCAGAGGCCCAGGGGCACCCATGTTCTTCTCTCAACTCTTATGCACATGACCGAAACCAGGAAGCAGGAGAAAGTTGATGTGTATTGGACAGTCCTGGGTTCGAATCCTGTCTCTGTGTCTACTGTGTATTCCTGGACAAGTCATGCCACTCTTTGAGCTTTACTCTCTGCACAATGAGGACGATACGAATAATCAGAAAGTGACCGTCTTGCTGTTGTTGTCATCCCAATAAACGGCAGGTGGAGGTTCCCCGGGGGCATCCATCAGTCCCACCTCATTCTCTGCGGGGTCTGTATATTGCAGGGGAGGTTGCCAAACAGGTAAGCGTTCCCTGAGGCTCTGTCTAGAACTGGCTCTTCTATGACATCCTGGGCTTTATGAAAAATAATGACATTTATTCAATTCTCACAACCTTCCTAGGACAGGGATATTATGTCCACATTTCACAGATACAGAAGTGGCCACATCGTAAAGAGTGGATGAGTTGGGGTTTGAACCCCACGATTTTCCCAAATGCTGCCTCTGAAACTGCTATTCCCCTCATTCTTCCTGGGACTGGGCAGCATTTACCCTAGAGGTGGCCGTCTATGAGTCTGCCACTGGCCTCAAATACAGAACATGTCCTGGTCATCAGTTTATGCCCTGGGATTAGCACAATGCTCACCACAGAACCACGGCTTCCCAGACATGTTCAAATGGGATTGTGGGGCCCTGGGAAATTTATGCAGGATATCCCTGCCTTCATTTCCTTCTTCATAATGTGGTTGCATCAGCCCTTACTTCATAGTGCAGCTTATTAAAATAAAGCAAAATAATGTTTGTCAAGTGTTTGCCACGAGGCCCGGCACATTTTGCTATTATACCCGGCATGACTATTTCCATTGCTAAACAAAATCTGGTGCATGGTAAAAGCATGACCAATATCTGTTAAAGGATGTGAGAAAGGAAAGGAAGAAGAAAAGAAGGAAGGAAAGAAGGAAAAAAGGCAGGAAGCCAGGCTGGATTATTTAATGGAAGAAAGAATGGTTAATGTCTCTTACAGATAGTAATTAGTCCGAGCTCCTGCAGCACTTCCCGGCCTGCCATGTAGTCCTTGCTGTTAGTGATCCAGCAAATAAAAATATAGGAGGCCCAGTTAAATTTGAATCTGCGATAAACAATGAACACTTTTAAAGTGTAAGTACGACCCATGTGATGGCTGGGCCATATTTATACTAAAAACGTACCTGTCATTTACCAGCAATGCAAATGTAACTGGACATCCACCCTGCATTTTATCTGGCAACCTTACATGCTTCTCACCCGGAACATGGGTTTTTATCAAGCCATCCACAACAGAAGTGGCAGCTCACTGGACTAGAATACATTCCTGCCAGCGACTTCAAGGCTAGGTGTGCTGTTAAACTTGTGCACTGTGTTACACGGTAATGACTATAATTTCAAGCCCTTATGCATTTTAGACTCATTGATTTGCTCTCTGTTTAATTTCTATTATTCAAGAGCATGTGGCTTTTAAAGACATATACAGATGCATATTGAAATTGTTTTAGATTTCGTATGTCTTAAAATAGGGATGCACATTTAATATTTCCTAATGAATTTTTAATGAAAAGTTGCATTTCATATTTGGCAGAGCATTTTGCAGGATTTAAGATATAGCCAAGAAAGGAAAGAAAATCCAGGTCAAAATGTTCATCTTTCAGAAAGCAGATGTGGTAAAGCTCCCAAAGTTTCCGTAAAATGTTGACCAGGCTTCCTAAAACACCACGTCATTGTACACCAGGTGTGCGATCACGCACACCAATGAAGATTCGAGTGCCAGATAACTGGGATACCATTTTATGACCAGCTAAAAATATAAAATATGCATACGGTAATTCTAAGCAGTGGGTACAGTATTGCATCAATGTCCCCAAAGTGGAGGCATCCTTTCCTAGGCGACCAAGTTTCCAAGAAGCCCCCCTTGTACAGATGGGATAACCCTTCAGGCCGATTGGAATAGTTTCAGTATTAACACGAACACCCCAGAACCTGCACCATCTTTCCTGTATATACAACATACATCCACTCCCATTGCTTTGAGTGAATCTCAGATACTCAAACCTGGTTTTCTGCAACCTCTGGAGTATAGCCTGAACATGATTGTGTCAAGATGGTGCTTGAGTTTTGTATAACAACACTGCTTTGAAAGTCCAGATCAGAAATATTTATTCTGTACCAATGCAGGGAGATGCAGACATAGCTCTCTTATCTACGTATCGAACAGATTTGAAAGTGCCTTTTGTGTCCGTCTTTCCAAATTATTGGCTTACCTTCACGCCCCTAGAACAGACATTATACATTTCAGATTTCGACTAAGGATAGATGCGAGCTTTTTTTCTTTCTCTCTCCCTATTTACATATCCCAGTGTTTTGGCAGTGATAGGAACTTAAAAAAATTATTACAGACCTAACAGGTGGAAAAATTGGTCTTTATTACAGCACAAATAAACATTGCCTGTTTGTCCTCATCACCGTGGTTTGGACCCACCTCTATTGGATCTGAAACATCTTTCTTCTCTCTAGGTATTCTGTGTATGTCCACCTTTTTTCTTTTTAGGACCAGAAAAGCATAATAGCAAATTATCTAAAATTGAAAATATTATCAAGCAAACAAATCGAACGCCGCAAAGCCCCAAGCTCACGCGTGGATGAAATGGATGCACTCTGGCTGTTCCTTCCATAGCGTGAGCTAAACAAATCATGCTTGGATAGCAAGAGGTGAATCTGCCAGTAACACATTTAATTATCATGATAAAAACATGCAAACAAAAAGGATAGTCTTCATTTGGGCCCGGATAGCTGTTACAGTTATAGGATGATTCCCCCTATAAGAAGCTTACATCTCACCGAGGGAAAAGTCCAGCTCAGATATTTTAACCTTTTATTTCCTTCTGGCCATCCTCACACTCGGTCAGTCTCCCTACCTGATGTGTGGTGCGCTCAAAGCCACGGCATGCAAACACCCCTCTCCACCTGGGACTCTCCTAGCATCCTGCCCTCTTGGCTTGTTCTGAAAGTCTCTTATTTATAAACAAATGCTCTGACAACAGGGGGCTGTGGGCTTCTACGTCACACTATCTTTAGGTTGTCCTAGCTCACTGTGGATTAACTAAGTAAGGGCAGATGTGTCACGTAGCATGACATCAATAGATTTAGTTCAGGTTGGGCCCCCCTCATGGGGTGTGGCCCGAGGTAGAGGACAACCTGATTATGTGTGAGTCCCCTAGCATGTGGGGGTCTCAAGCTGGAAGGGAGAGAAAAGTAAATACAAAAGGGGACGTGAAAAAGATTTGTTAAGACCCAGCCCGGCTTCTTCTCAACATCTGAAAATGTCTGGTGAGACTTAATCTGCTGCAGTCATCAACCTCGGTCTCTGTCCTCAGAGATGGTTTGGGCGTTTGTGCCTCCATGAGGCATGGAACTTCTATGATAAGTGAGGCAAATTACCTTGAAGCTGTGAGGCCCCCTGCACATTGACAATAGGTGTGCAGAAAGCCATTTGTTTATTTATGTACAGTGAAATCTCGAAGGCATGCATTGCATCTATCTTTGTTAAAGGTAGACTTGGCTATCTGTCTATCCTTAAGAAAAGCAAAAAATGAGAGAGAAGAAAATAAGCTTCTGCTCTCTTCATCTCAGTGTTCCGCAGAGAAGAAGTTTTAGCTACCATCCCGTCAAGGACGTGTGCTCTTTCACAGCAAACTCAGTGGTGGGGGTAAGCAATGGAAGGGGGCGAAAGGTGGCCATTGCTAAAAGTGAACAAAAAGCGCTAATGACTAGTAACAGTAATACAGACAGCTTTAAGCTACTCAGGAGCTGATTAAAGAAATCTCTGTAGAGTGAGTACTTCTAGCAACTCTCCAATCTTGATTCTGTCACTCAGCTTTTCATCACTTAGCATCGCTATGGGCAGGTGGGGCAGGGAAATGGGATAGGGAGGGAAGTTAGTAATTATCAGCTAAAGCAGGGGTGTCCTTGGCTGGACGCTGGAGGTGAGGTTACCTTGGGTAACGCAGGGGAGGCCTTAAACATCATCTCTCTAAACCCATTCATTCTAGTCCTCAACTCTCAACTGGAGGGCTTGAGAGAACGGTTAGGGCTTATTTTTCACCTTCTGGTCCTTCATCAAAATACATCCTACTCCAGCAAGCTACTCTCCTTCTTGGCACTGGGAGACGGTCGCTGCCTCTGAGCAGACCCGTCTCCCGCCAAGAAGCTCCTTCCCGAGGCCACGGCGGCAACCGCCTGGCAGCAAACCCGTACCTGCGGAGCTATTCTTCATCCACGTCTGTTACAAACTGTGAATGGTGCTCGGGTGACTTGCTGTGCGTTTTGCTTAGGTGGAGTTTTACCGCATGTTTGCTCACAAATGTCCGACAGCACAACTTACACTTGAATTTAGAGTCTGTGTCCTCTTCGCCAGCTATTGTCTCCGGGGACCTCTGAGCCGACGATACCCGGGAGATCTCCTGCTCCACCTTGCTCTGCTGATCCACTGCCATTCGGGTCATATCCTTCATTTGGAAACCCAGGTGAGATTCCAAGTGACTGATGTAGGTAGAAGGGGTTCTGAACTGGGAGGCGCAGTCACTGCAATAAAAGATAGGGTGGCCTTTGTCCATGTTTTTCAGAAATTTCGTCCCACCCGTTTTCCTAAGCTGGTACTTGACGTTTGCCAGCCAGTGGCTGATTGTGGTCATGGAGAGTCCCGTAAACTTCGAGATTTGCATACGCTCTTGCGGGCCCAGATCAGACAGCAGGTATTTGCCCTCTGATGTCTGGAAGAGGCTTGAGGCGAACTGAGCTTGCAAGATCAGAAGATGCTGAGGGTTCCAGTTGGACTGCCGGCCTTTTCTCTTATGCAAAGTCGACACTTCACTGGAGACATCCTCGAAGCGCCTGACATCCATCTCCAGCTTCATGGGAGGGACTCTCGAAGAAGCAGCGGGCTTTGGGGTGGTGGCTTTGGGGAGGACCTTGACCATGTCGGCGATGTCAGACAGAGCGTGCTTCTGAGGCGGGGACGTACAGGATTGTGCTTGCGAGGACTCGGCTTTCTTGCTTTTGGATTTGGTCAGGTCGATGGGCTGGTCGTTGTTCTCAAACAGATAGCGCCTGGACACGCTGGCCGGCCTCGTGGATGCGGGACTCAACACTGGCTTGTCCATGACACTGAGATTCGACTTGTGAAACATAGACATTGTGCTTGAGCTTGGGCTGGAGCAGGAAGGTGAGCGCAAGGGTTCGGTGGCTTTACCCAGGTGATTGTTCAAGACGGACTGCAGGGCACTGAGCGGGTTGATGCACGGGAGGGCTGCGGTGTGGTTGGCCAGGGCACAGCCATTGCTAAGAGAAGACGTGGGCTCCAGGGACTGGGGTTTCTCTTTCTCACCACCCTCCTTCATCAGCTTGTCCTCCTCCTTCAGGGGACACGGCTCAGCCTTTTTGGGTTCTACAGGTGTTTCACTTTTGGAGAAGGACTCCCCCTCACTGTGGCTGAAGGGTGAGGCCTCTTGGTGGGGACTTTCCTTCCCACACTCCTTCCCACCTTCCTCTTTGTCCTCCGACTCCTTCTTGACCTGGGTGTATGGGGCCAGGTTCGTGGGCACAGGAACGAGCGGCATCACCTTCCACTTGGGTGCAATGGGCCTCAACTTGTTAGTGAGATTAGGTCGAATCTGCAGGACCTGCGATCCCATGGGCAAGGGCGGCTTGGTGCCCTCGGACAGCTGGTAGGCCGCGTGGATGCTGGGGTACGCGCTCCAGCTCGGAGCCCCGTTTTGGGCTTTGTTGATGGCTGTGGTAACAGTATTTTCCAAAGATTTCAAAATGTCCCCTCCACCTTTCGAGCCGTCTTCCAAATCCTCCTCCCTCAGATACTGGTATTTTACTGTAGGGTCTAAGGGCTTTTGCAAAGGGTCTTCATACTCTTCACTTTTCACGACTTTGTCATCCCTGCCGGTTTCCTCCGGTCTTTCTCTTTTACTCTCTCTCTTCAGCTGGGTGGTGGAGGCTGTACAGTCAGATGCTGAGTTACTCGATGGCTTGGGGGCCAGGGAGTCGCTGTTTGGAGCCTCCGACAGGGACTGCATCTTCTCCACCGCCAGCGGGTCTAACACCAGCTGCTTCCCCTTCTTGGAGGCAGAGCTGGTGACCTTGAGAAAGTGACCGGTGACCATCATGTGGGTGGTGAGCTGCTGCAAGGTGTCGTGGGAGCTGCCACACTCCATGCACTTCAGGATCTGGGACTTGCAGGCCTCGAACTGCCAGGTGTAGCTGGCGCCGTTCTGGTAGCCGTAGCGGTTGTTACAGGAGGACGCCTGCAGGGCGGCGCTCTTCTGGGCGGGAAAGGACTCTGCAAAGGACCCCGTGGTGGAATCCGGGGAACACGGCCGATTGACGTCAAAGACGCGTTTCTTCGCCGGGGTGACCATCTTCGAGGAAATGGTGGGTACCGGCTCCTTCAAAGGCACTTTTTGGTAATGTTTTGTTTTTATCATGTGGACGCTCAGGTCTTGGAGGGAGTCGAAGGAGTCGCCGCAAAACATGCACTTGAGAACCTTCTGAGCGTCCTCCCTGTCCATGTCCTGAAAGGCCCTTTTCCGGGGCTTGGAATAGCTCGTGGGTCTGAGCTTGTCCTTTTTGCGGTTGTCGTCTTGGTAGTGGCCCGTTTCGTTCATGTGCACGGTCAGCTCGACCAGGGTGTCGTAGGCGGCACTGCACTGGCGGCAGCGGAACCTGCTGGCGCCCGTGAACACGGTGCCGCACACCTTGCTGTTCTGCCGGTACAGCTGCACCGAGCTGAACAGGCTGGGCTTCGACACGGACCGGGAGGGCAAGTTCTGCTGCAGGCTTTTGGACAGAGCGTCTTGGTGCCAATCGAAATCATTCTTGCTGCTGCCGTTCCGGGCGTCACAATTCCGCCGCTCAGCACTGGACAGCTTGAAGCCGAGGCCCAGGCCCGACCAGTAGGAGTCAGACAAGATGTTGGCGTAGACGGCCGTCATTTTATCCATGCAATTGTGGGCTTCGCTCGGAAGCTTGGGGAGAGGGTTTGCTTTCTTGTCCGAGGCATCCCGGCCACAGATGCTCTTGATGTCTGACACCTGGTCGCTGGCATCGCTCAGCAGAGATTCATTCTCAGCGTCCTGATTGGACAAGTGACTTCCCGGAGAGTTCTGGTAGCTGAAGCAGCCTTTCTGCTCCGTGCCTGTCTCTACCTCCTCGTCTGTCCCCGTGTCATTGCCACCCTGAAATTGAGCCACGGAACCGCCGTCCTCCTCCTCTTCCTCCTCTTCTTTTATTTCCTCCTCCTCTTTCAGCTGTTCCTCCTGGGCATAGCCTGCAAGAGACGAAGGAGCAGAGTTGAAGTAAGAACACCACGTTCCGTGCTCCATTCCAGTCCCCCCACTTAGACGGAGAGTTTTCATGGCGCACTGAACAGCAATTTAATCTACACTTTTATGAACTGTGGGCAAAGGAGACAGGAAAAGGCCAAGTGATGTCTTTTGTCCCATCTATTGCCTTTTTTTTTAAATTGGCAGGGGTCATAATTCTCTATCAATGCCAAGAATCCCAAGTTAGTAATTTTTGTGTTTAAGGAATATCATTCTAATAGTTCTAAAATGGGCCAGTTGCTCGATTCACACGTGTGACTTTTAGGAAAGCTGGATTAATATGTAAAAATCCTAGTAAAGTCATGTCTCTACAGGGAAGAACATCAGCTGATTAACAAAAATTAAGACTTGACCTTTGGCACCTCAGTGATAAAGTTTACCAGGAAACTTGGGGGTACTGGCATCCGATCATCTACATTGATCATTTTTGAGTGCTCAGAAGTAATCTCGATGCACAGCCATTCTATTCGGAATACCTACTATCTTTTTTGCTATAACATTTTTATTTGTAGAGAATCACGCTGAAAGAAAGAGAGATTATGGGGTATGCAAATAAAATCTTCCATTGAGAGTTGAAAAATTATGTGTGCTCAGCAAATATGATGATTTAAAAAGGAAAAGCAAAGGGTGTTAGAAGGGGAGGTTTGGTGACTATCCTATTATTCTCAAACAGGTTTATGAAGACCTTTCCACACAAGGCTGAAAATGCCCTCTCGATCTTGTGCCTGTAATTTCAAATGCACTGTGATTTGTGGGCACCCGTCACGAGATGCCAATTATGTGTTTGATTTGTAGATGTGGGACGCTATTGGCGATGCATGCTTTCCCTTCTCTGGGAGGATTTAGGACCAGTAATTGCATAGGGAAAATGAGGACACGAGAGAACGGATGCAGAGGGAATTAATGGGCAAATATCCGTCAATGAAGATGGGGAATGTGACTATTTATGTCCATGGGCTGATTTTCCTCACCTGGCCCTTTCAGAGCCATGTGGATAAAACACCCCCAATCAAGTACCAAGGAATAGTGGGTCTAGTCTTAGATTTGCATGCCCTGCATGCTCTCAATGCCATATTTTCCTTGTGAGCGTCTATTTCTCCTCTCAGGGGCAGGTGGCTGTTGGGGAAAACCCCGAGAGCAGGGTCTGTTATTTGTAGTCACCTCGGACAATGCACTGGAGGTCTGCTCCGTGAGGCAGGCAGAGTCAAAAGAGACAGGGGTCAGGGGTTTATTAAGAATAAGGCAACGTCTAGAGTTAGGAATTAAGTCCAAAATCTGCTCCTGATGAAGGCGAAGCGTATTTATTGAGCAATGACTCTCTTAGGGACTAAGCTAACCACTGCAAACACATTCTTTTGTTTCTTTGTTTTTGTTTTTGCGACAGTCTTATTATGTCACCCTGGGTAGAGTGCTGTGGTGTCACAGCTTACAGCAACCTCAAACTCTTGGGCTTAAGCAATTCTCTTGCCTCAGCCTCCCAAGTAGCTGGGACTACAGGAGCCCGCCACAACGCCCGGCTATTTTTTTGTTGTAGTTGTCAATTGTTGTTTAGCAGGCTCGAGCCAGGTTCAAACCTGCCAGCTCTGGTGTATGTGGCCAGCGCCCTAACCACTGAGCTACAGGCGCCAAGCCTGCAAACACATTCTTTTATTTCATCTAATATCTGCATGAAATGATACTATTATTATTTTTTATTTCAGAGATGGGCAAACCGAAGTATCAGGGTAAAGAAATTCACCTATGGCAACACAGCTTGTATTGCAGAATCATGACACAGAACCAGTTCTGTTTGATGAGAGAAGCCAGGGAGGCCCACTCTCTTTCTGTTACCAACACAGTGAGTAAGAAAACTTGAAGCAACCCAAAGGTTAAAGGTAAAGCAGTAGCATTTCGCTGAAGTGTCACTAACTAGAGAATCGCCTTGGAGAGAAGAACTATGAGAATGCTGGACCCATGACCCCACGCTGCCCTGACAAGGTGACGTATAAAAATCCAGGCCAGCCACGAGTCTGATGGGTGCGTTCCTTATTTGATTACCATTGGTGTGGAGTTTGTGCTTTCCCAGCAAGCCCAACGTGCATTTTTCACTAGATTGGCACTGCTGGTCTTTGGTTCCATAAATTGATTTGAAAAAATAAAAACCACCCCATCTAGTTCAACAGCCATTAATATGTAGTCACTATTACTTGCAAGAAAACTGTCAATGTAAAATAACCAAATTAGACTATTTTAACTTCATGCTTTTTTTTTTTTCTGGATTAATTTATATGTTTTCAGAATTAGTGAGTGAAGTTCACAGAGAAAGTCTATGTTACACAATTGATCAGTGGAAGTTGTTACTGAGCCAAGTAAAATACTCCAAAGAATCAGGCAAATTGTATCAAGCAAACAAATTTGATCAATCATTTCTAAGAATGAAGAGGGTGCTGTTACTCTAGAACATACCCTGGGTCACCACACATTACACAGGTCTGTTCAGGCTAACTAAGACATGCAAGGGTGGACAATTAAGTTTGCAAACTCATCCTAGAGAAATGCTACATATCTCATCGCCGAGTATCACAGTGGTCACCTTCAGAGTCCTCCCCTTGGGCATCTGTCTGGCCTCATAGAGTGACCACAACTGAGGGCAATGTTATCCCAGCAACCAAGAAGTGTATGTGCTTGTGTACACACACACGTGCACACAGGGCAAGTGAACAAGTCTGGGGAGTGAGGGGATTTCTGTCATCTTAACTGGCTGAGGGTGTGGCTGGGTTTTATTCATCTCAGTATTTTTAGGGCCTAGCACTGTGCCTGATACTTAAAAAGAAATTGGGAAGTACATCATGCTGTTTTGTGTGCGTGTTGATGAATTATGCATGCACACGTATACACCCCCCCTACACACACACACACACACACACACACACAATCTGCCCAGCCAATACAGTCATTTTGAAATAAGGAGAAAGGAAGTGTTCTTTTTTTTCTCCTGCTGACATTTGGAAGCTGAGTTTTCCGGACCAGCTCAACCTCACAATCCACTTTGTCCTTCTAAATGGATTTCCCAGAAGAAAAGTCGGAGACAGCAAACACCTCCCCGACAATACAGATAAAATTTTCTGCTTAATTAGGCATTGACATGTTTACTATAACCTTTACAGAAGAGTAACTCGTGCTGAGAGACCCTTTTTGTCTGCTTTCCTCTGCAGAACAGACTAAATCTCATGCACCCGATAAGGTAACACGTTGAAAAGCCTCATACAAAAAGTGCCAAAGCAGCCGTCAGAGTGAGTGTATTTTAACAAAGGCTGAGGGTTCCAAGGAGTTTTTAAAAAACACATTTCAATATTATACATTTAAAACCGTTCACTTGACTTAAGTGATTTTGTTTGCTACCGGCAGTGGAGGCGAGAGAGGGGGAGACAGCCAGAATATGGGTGATCTGGGTGTAAAGTGAGTATCTCTCTCTCTCTTTCTCTCTCAATAGTTTCTTTTTTTTTTTTTTTTTCCAGTTTTTGGCCAGGGCTGGGTTTGAACCCTCCACCTCCCGCATATAGGCTGGCTCCCTACTCCTTTGAGCCACAGGCATCGCCCTCTCAACGGTTTCTTTAACAAGACCGTGTCATCTGTAAATCCTAGTGCATGTGGATGAGTGGCCAGTTTATTTGTATGAATTCTTACATGACAAAAGAAAACTATCAGAATTGTGCCAGGGCACAGGAAGGAAGGATTCTCCCCTGCAGACCCTCCTGGTTGATTGTGGGTGGAGGATCAAACAGGCTAAGATTCCCTTTTCCAACCTAAATTTCTGGTTCCATCCTTTCCTACTGCTTGACTCTGGACACACAAAACGTCCCCATTTCCAGGTAACGGATGCAGGAGCAAACCTGGTAAAGTCTCTGACCAAATGACTGAGTCAAAGGATCATTTCTCTTCCACTTTGTGGGCACCGGTCTAGAGTGGGCCACCAGACCATCTCCTAGATTGCACAAGGGGTTTCTGTGTCTCATGGTCTAACTGCTAGAACATCCTTTGTAAAATGGACTAGATCATGATGTTCCTGTTTTAACTTGTGCCACGACTTTCTGTCGGACTTCTAATAAAGTTCTAACCCTTAGCATGAGTCGGAAGAGCCTGCAGGACTTGGCTTCAGCCAACCTCTCTGCCTCATCTCTGAGTGCTCATGACCTGCTCTCTGCACCTGAGAAACAATGGCCTCTTTGCTGCTCCTTGGGACCAGCTCGTCCCCCTCTTGACTGTGTCCCTCTGGCGCTGCAGATTCTCCTGACCAGTAAGTCCTTCCTTTGCACTGTCCCACAGGTCCCAGCTCCAATGGTTCCTCCTCAGAGAGGCCTTTCTGATCAGTCTCTTCTTCCCCGTGTAACCCTCGATCACATCAGCCAATCTACTAAAATCCTGGTTGCACATTTCAGACTCTGAAATTAGCTTGTGTGTTTATCAATTGGTTGTCTTCTCCCACTGAAGGCAAAGTTGAAATATGAAGATTGAGCAACTTAGTTCTTGAACTCATCCCACAAAAAGTCCTACATACCTCATGGCTGAATATCCATGATAGTCACCTTTGAAGTCCTCCCCTTGGCCATCTGGAGACTGCAGTGATATTTATCTATGGTATGTGGCACTTTTTATAGGATGAGTTCATAAACTTAATTGTCAGATCTTGTACGAAGATGGCTCTGGTGGCCATTCCCAAAAAAGAGTTCCAAGATTGCTTTGAAAGGTGAACCATGAGCTGGTGTCAAGGCATAGCTTCCCAAGATGAGGACCTCAAAGGTGACCATGGTGATGTTAAGCTGGGAGGGCTATGGCACTTTTTCTAGGATGAGTTTGGAAACTCACATCACCCAACCTCATATCTATCTCCACGAAGGCAGAGAGGGCTTTGCCCCAGTGCTCAGATTCCCAGACCACATCCTGATGCAGAAGAATGTCCGCAAAT